CTATGCATTGGTTTATTTGCCAGCTACACTCCAATGAACTACCATTACGTCACTTAGTGACACATTTAGATGGGGAAACGACAGGCCCAACTGGGTTTTCAGGTCCAATTGGTAAACAACTTAAAGAGTGTGAAAAGTTGTCTATTGTGCCATTTGAGCGAATTGAAACTGAAATACCAAGTGTTGACAATAAGTCAGATTTAAGTACTGATCAAAAGTATTTATTTGAAATCCTCACTGCAGTTTCAGAAGGCATTTGTTCTGCAGATCTAGCCAACAAGTATCCAGGCCACATGTCACATTCTAGATGGCTTACCACAGCTAACAGAATTTTGCGTCTGTATATATCCACCGAAGACCCAAATGAAAATCTAGTTATATTAGCGACATTTGTGGCAAAAGTTTACGGACCAATGTGGTTTGAAATTAAAACAAATCCTAGCTGTTTAAATGGCAGTATTCATGTGTTCAAAACTATACAAAAAAGTCGATATCTGCCCCAAAATTTGAAAGCAGTGGTAGACCCTGTGATACAGCGGAACGCTTATTTTGCACATCCTGAAAATATGATATTATGTATGTTTGGTGACGACAGGGAAGTTATAAGAGAGTTGGGGTATCGTCGAATTGTCAAAGCTCGGTCAAATAAGCCTAAGATGATTCGCCAGTTTGTCATACCTCCATTAAACTTTGAGGCGACAACGTACGAAGACATTATTATTTGGAACGAAGCCCAAGTAACAGAACCACCGTTTTTGGAAAAGTTTACTGACGAAGAACTGAAGGACTTTGTATCACACGGGTTAAAATCAAAAATTCCCTGCCACACGCAAGCCGTGGAACGCTGTGTAAAACTTGTGACTGAGGCTTCGGAGGACGTCTGTGGAAATACTGCCAAAGATGGTTTTATCAGGAGCCGACTCGCCTCACGAAAGAAAATGCCCTTTTTTGAAACCAAAAAAGAATATGTCTTGTAGAATTTCTTGTTTGGCCATTTTGTAACCTGATTAGTAGGCCTACTTATTTTCTTTGTTCAGTGTTAATTTACTTTCCATTAAACATTTATATAAACTGTATCTGGTCTTTTCCATTACTTTCCGGTCCCATATGTTGTATTTAAAATAATTATTCAATATTTATTAAAAATTTTTATAATATCTGCACTCATAGAAACACTTATTTTTTGCTGGTTTTTCAATTGTTTAACCATTTCATTCAAGTTTAGAACATTATGTTATGGTTTTTGTCTGTTATAAAAAAGTAGATTTTTGATAAATATTGCTTATTTCAAAACTGTTGGGGCACCTTAAAATTATCCCTTTTCACCTTGATATTTTTTTATATATTAATTAAGACCAACACCTTTATTAAAACATGTATTACATTTAGATTTTAACTTTGTGAATATTTAAAAAATTTTTTTTGAAAAATGGCGTTTTGGGTAAAATTTTCAAATTTGAATGGCCTTGGGGCACCTAAAGATAATAATTAATGAAACCCAAATTGTTATGGTAGTTTAGTCTCACAAAGACACAACTTTTTGAGACTATTCCAAAGAATTTATCAATATTTTTGGGTTTTCACTCCACCCTAATGACCAAGTTAATGACAAATGACAAATTCTTTATTTAACCTGCCCTGAGTTAGACCAAAGGTCCACTCTTCCCCCAGGACAGGAACAACAAATATACAAACAACATATACATGTACAGAGTTGTGGACTATGAAAATCTAAAATTTACTTTTAATAAGTGAAAAACACAAATTATATAACAATACAGAAGTGTAAAAAAGAAATTAACTTACACTTACAAATCAAAACATATTACATTGATAACTAAAGATTTTATCACCTAAAACTATTATGGAATTGTCAAACAAAATGAGGATACCTAATATTTATACATGTGCAAAAAGTAATAGTTGAAAAATGATGATGATTTTATACTTCATATCTTTGTAATAACAGATTTTTTACTGCTTTAGAAAAACGTTTAGGGTTATTAAGGTTTTTTATCTCACTATCTAAATTATTGATAAGTCTAATCGATAATACATGGAAAGATTTGTTATATATCATCGTTCTATGCACAGGAAATTGAATTATTTCATTACCAAATCTAGTTCCTCTCGTATGGATATCACGCATTCTTGAGTACATTTCAAACAAATATTCTGGCTTACAAGTATTTAGAACTTTATAAACTGTGTTTAAAACATTTAATTCTCTTCTCTCTTTAATCTTTAACCAACCCAACTGACGATAATACCTTGTTACATGATCATCCAGTCTTAAATTAAATATATATCTAATACAGGAATTTTGAGCAACTTGTATTCTACTAGTTAGATCGTCATTACAGTCACAATATACAGCAATGGCATAGTCAATAATAGGAAAAATTAATGTTTCTACTAGCTCTTTCTTAACGTAATATGGTGGATTGAAACATAAGCGTCTAAATTGGTACAAACAACGATATATTCTATTACAAACATTGGTCACTTGATCAGTCCACGATAGGTTCTTTGTCAATGTAATTCCTAAGTTGATAACACTTGTTTCATACTTTAACTCTTGACCATTAATTACTACTTGATGAATATTGTCCATGTTTATTGTGTTTAATAGCCTTGATGTTCCTATTACAATAGGTTTGCACTTCTGTATATTTAAACTAAGACCATGACCTTGACACCACTGAAATACAGAAGATAGGTCCGCATTTAACATATCTACAGCATCATTAATTTTACCAACATCACAGTCTATATAGAGCTGCAAATCGTCTGCATAAAACATACTTTTACTAAAAATAATACATTCATTTAATCTATTTATATACAATGAAAACAACAATGCGGATAATGTGGATCCCTGCGGCACACCTGAAGGGTTAACTTTCCAATTGGAAACCAATCCATTGGCTGTCTTAACTTGTTGCTGTCTAAAGTTTAAGTATTTATGAAACCAATTTAAAACACTATCACTAAAATTATATGATTGCAATATGGATATTAACAAATTATGGTTGACACAATCAAATGCCCTGGTAAAATCTAATAATACTAACACCGTTACATGCCTCTTATCCATTGCTAATCTTAAATCGTCAGTAATTCGTATAAGAGCAGTCTGTGTACTATAATGTTTCCTGTAGCCAGATTGATATTTATACAATATGTTATTATCATCTGTAAACTTTATAATCTGTTTGAAGACTAATTTATCTAATACTTTACTTAGCACACATAAAATATTTATAGGCCGATAATGCTTACATTCTACTGGCTTATCTATCTTGGGTAGTGGCAATATTAACGCTTTTTTCCACTGCAATGGATAATCGCTATAAAGTAGTGAAAAATTAAAAATATGACATAATACATCTTTTATTTCACTGAATATTATTCTAATAAATTTCAATTGTACACCATCACTCCCAACGGCATTTGATGAAATATCTGATAATACTTTGAATATTTCTTCACAAGTTAGTTCATTAAAGCTAAGAGGTACATTTAATAGATCATAATTATTTCTCATATCCCTGTAGTACTGTAGCAAATCATTATTAATATTATTGTTTATTCCACAAAAATATGAATTCAATTCATTAAGTTCAACATTAGGATCAAGTGGTCGCTTAACAACCTTACCTGCACCTTGGTATTTCAAAATATTCCACTTATCTTTATTAGACCTATCAGAGGACAATAACGTATTAAAGTGACGATTTCTAGCATCTCTTAGTTTCCTTTTAACATCATTTCTACAAACTCTATAATTCTCCCAATCTACAGCATTCTTCGTCCTTAGGTAACGCCTATACAAAGTATTTCTATTTATCATTGATTCTTTCAGTTCATTGTTTATCCAAGGGCATGGATTACGTTTTTTACTTATTTTCCTCTCTGGAACATACTTATCAAATAATAAATGTAACCTATTGTTCAATATCTCTATCTTATTATCAACATTATCACTTGCGTAAAGATCGCCCCAATCTATGGTTAAACATTCTTGTTTTAACTGGTCAAGTTGTATATTTTTAAAATCTCTTACAAAAATAATTTCCTTGCTTACATTTAATTTCACCCTAAAATTCATTTCAACAAAAACAAGATCATGATAAGATATTCCTGATATAGGTAACTGACCATAACTATGAACTCTCTGCACATCGTTAGTAATGATTAAATCTAACAATGAGTCTGACAATGGTAAATGATAGGTTGGTTGTAATGGTAAAACAGTTAAATTCAAATTATTCACTAAGCTCTTAAACTGTGTTTTTTCAGCAAACTCTCTATCAGTACTTAGATTGATATTAAAATCTCCCAATATTAAGACGTTATCATAAACTGGAAGTAGGCCAGCAATAATTTCAAAAAACTCATCGATATGACTAGCCTTAGGTGGACGATACACAACACATAAAAGTAGTTTCCAACCTAATGATAATTCAACAATCATAAATTCTATTCTCTTACTGTATACAGATTGAGAGGTAGCTATTAACTTAAAATGAAAATCTTTTCTTATAAATACAGCTACTCCTCCTCCTTCCTTACCAACCCTATCATGACGTAAAAGATTATAATCATTTAACATAAAAGGTGAAGATGAGATTTCGGGCTTTAAAAAAGTTTCTGACACGGCAATGATATCAATAAATGAATCTTGGAAAACATTAAAAAACGAGTCTTTATGAGCTCTAATATTCTCAACATTGACATGTACTATTTTTAAACATTTTCTTAAATTACTAAACTTATTTTTTAAATTAAGACATGAAGTACTTTCTATGTTTGAAACGTCATTATTTTCAACCATTTAACCAGATAAAAGAGTATGAAGCGGTTATTAAATAGGCCCTCATTTGAACAACAATAAGAAATACAAATCCTAACAAAACACTACGTGAAACAAAAAACCAAAACACATTACACTCAAAAATATTTAAAACCACGGACACTTCTGTATTGGAACAAAAATATCACTCCAGCTTCTTGATATCATCATAGTTGTTTATCAGCACACACGGGTCATCAGGATTTTTCCTCAAATAGATCCGACCACCCCTTACCCATAGATAGGTGAACCCTTTGTTCTTCTTTGCTTGTCGTGCCGCTTTTAACAGTTTCCGTTTCTCCGTAGTTAGGCTATCATTTACATAGATGACTGTAGCGTCCCCTCCCATGAAACCAATGTCTCTAGAATTAAGATTTCTCTTCTTTCGACGACACTTCATGAAGCGATCCTTATCTAATCTTCGTACAAATTGTACTATTATCCCTGGGGCAAACTCACTTGTCTGAGACTGTCCGTAACGATAACAGTTACTTATCATTTCATTGTTGAAGTCAAACGATATTTGCGTGGAAATGTTCTTTAAGATATCTAAAATATTTTCTTCGTCTTCAATTGGGACTCCTTGTATTTCAATCTCATTATCTTTCACTGATTGTTCTAGATAGTTTATTCGATTTGTCAATGCATCATTCTTCTTCTTTAAGTCACAATTTTCTTGTTTTATCTGCTCAAGTTCTTTTGCCAAAGCTGTAATCTTACCATCCACCTTATCAATCTTTTCATTGGTTTCCATTAGCCAATCTGAATATTTACCAAGCGAATCCTTTATGTCTTTATTTTGGGTCATTATTTCCTGTCTGAAACTGCGCATTTCTGCAAGCAAAGCTACAAGGGACACGTTTTCTTGAGTCAATTTAGCTGCAGCACCATCAATTTCTTCAATTTCTTGATTCCTTGATTCCTGGGAACAAACATAGCAAACCCACTTGGACTTATCCTTAAAAAACTCTTCTTTCAAAACTTCAGCACATTTGAAATGTAACACCTCTTTACATGTAGAACACTCCGCTCGGTGTGCATTAAATGGAAACCCTTTCTTACATTTTAAACATATTGTTTTCTCAGATGTTGCTTTAGGAGTTACCGGGGTTTCATCACGCTTAGGCATTTTTTTACATTGAAAACATGTCCAACTAGCATTACTAGATTTCAAAAATTGATAATCTATGAGAGTTAGATCATTAACACAAGTTAAGTGTAAGGTCTCTGAACACTGGGAACATTTGAGAAAATTAGCTTTCCTATCAATATCTTTTTGACACTTCAAGCAATTCATGTTTGATTGTCAGGTATAATGTTCAAAATCGGATCAATTACTTACATTAATAAGATGCAACCATGAACATAACCTCAAACTATTGAGCACTAACACCAACGTCCTTCCTTATCGGCTGCCGGTCCACAACTGGAGTCCACAAGTTAAGAGAGATGTGAGTCAGTGTGGAGGGACAGTGGAGATGGCAGCGGACAGAGAAGCGTGGAAGAGGCTGATCTACGAGGCGAAGAATCGACTGCGATTTGTAGCGCCCCAGCAGTAAGTAAGTAAGTATACTCTGACATTATTAGGTATTCGACTTATTGTAGTCTAGCAAAAATAGATTTTTATAAATGTTGCTTTGTAAAATATGCTTTGTAATATCTCTTAAAAACATTTAGGCTAACCATAAATCTCTATCATAGATATAGTGTCTATGCACGTTTATATCAAAGTTTTATGTATGACTTAATTCAAGTGATCCATTCAGACTTTTTATAAAGATTGGTTGGAACCAACGGAAAGGTTAATTGACATTTGAGTTAATATATTTATATGAGTTTTCTTTGTTTAGTATCCTTATCGATTAAAGGAAAATGCTTTCCTGGAGTTCAACTTTTAGACGACTTTTAAAGGACAAATCTTATCATGCTTGATTAATAACAAAATCTTGTCCTTTTAATTAATTTACTTTACTAAGCACCTTTTACTTTAATTAGTCATTGACGCATATCCTGAAAGTAAGCACACAAAAGCTTATGCTTACACATTGCACGGTGCAGTTATAGTCTCTGTGTTTCTATTATTTTGTTTGAGGTTTTGTAAGCTACTTTTAGTCTGTAATTATGACATTTAATTCTATCCAAGTCGGTTTTAGCTGGTTATGTATAGTTAAAAAGGAAGAGTAAATTATACTGCTGGTGAAGTACACAAATAGTTTCATTTAGTGTTTTTACATACGTAAGTAAAGTAAAATAGTTACTTAAAGTAAAGACTTTTCATCAATACCAAACTGTTGATTGTAAGACGCAATTTTCTGAAATGCAGCGTTTCCGAAAGAATCAGTATGTGAGAGTATCTGAACCCATTAAGGGATATCGCACAAACTTTCTAATAGCTCAGGAAACGGCTTCATCTTTCACGCTAATGGCCTTTTAAAGGGCAGTTTTACTTTAACATCTGTATGTTATTAAATAAACGTAATTAAAATTGAGTGGTAATGGAGTAATGAGAGTTTGATTTTTTTGAGTTGGTACATTTTCAGGACGTCTAAAGTTCATGTTTATTTAAAAAAATGTTTATCAGGATGAAGTGTTATAAAATGTACAAGAAAAACTATTCTCACGGGAAATGAAATAGCTGGAACACGTATTAAGGCTGTGACTGCTTTACGCTTTATGAATTTAGCAATACAAGTTTTTTTTTTTTTTTTTTTTTTTTTTTTTAACCTCATGTTTCACCCAATACTTCTTACTTAATGAGCCTAAGAGTAAAAAATTTTTTTAAATAAGATTAACATCAATGATTGAGTGTGTTACAAATAATAGTTATTTGTATGTATTGTATAACCAGATTCTACATCCTAGATAATCTTTAGTTGGTCATCGTTGATAAAGAGTCTGTTACTACGAAGTAAAATATCATTGCTTTTGCTTAATAGGGAGCACCGTCCTCAATTAGAAATAAATAATATTTTTATCACAAAGAAACTAGTATCAATATGTGAACAATTAAATCTTAGATGGAAATCTTATATCTTGGATTTAGAATTGTTACGATACAATTTAAAAGTCATTTTCCTGTTAATAACAGACTTAGGGGCGAAACATGTCGTGAGTTTTACTTACTACAACATTTTAACTTTCGACCTAAAGTTATATGTACCTTATATTTGTTCTATATCATTCATATAGGAGAATGTAACACTATGGTTGAATTTATGTCATACTACAGCATTGTTAAAATCTACAACCATTTTCAAGATTACCACAATATTAACCTTAGGTTTGACTCTAATTTGTTACTATCTGCCATTAGGTTAGATATCAGAGATCAAGTTTCCAGTTGCCATTAGAAGTCATATCGTGAAACTTGGTAATGCCTCAGGAAACGGGCCAAGTCCTGTCAGTTAATGGGACTACTGCCTATCATTAGCATTATGTCATTTGGTGTTAGAAGCACAATTTTAGGGTAGAAACGGGGATTTTCATTGTTGCTGTGATGCATTTAAGATAAATTATCATTTGTGTAGTGTGATTGAAATAAAATCTATAATTTAATTTTATCATTTAAAAATTCCTCTAAAGAACGCCATTATAAATAATACATCTACAGGTATAAGAACATAACTCAGTCGTTCAAAGGTTTATTGCGGACATTTTCCATCACGATAGTAAAAAACAATACACAACGTTTCGGGATCTGGAATCTGATCCCGTCCTCAGGTGAAAAAACTTAACTAACACATTAAAACTAACAATACACAAACGCCCAACAATGAATGTTGGAATACACTAAAGAGGGTAGCAGTAAAAAAATATGCACTTTATAGCACTGTGAAGTCATTATACAACATGCGAATAATAACCAATCACAAAACACTATAATCTAAGATAGGTCCAAGAATAGGTTGTTGTTATAATAGGTTGTTGTAGGTAGTAGGTTGTTTTTTACCATCGTGATGGAAAATGTCCGCAATAAACTTTTGAACAACACTAACTCACCATCACCAACAATGAACTTCAAACAAAGAATAACTCAGGTCTTTCGTCAGGTTTGAATAATATGTAAGTGGCTACTGGAAAACACAATATTATATAATAACAGTAAATGTAATAATTACAATTTAATTCAAGAGCATTAAAATATTAATTTTCGGTAAAAAAAAATACGAAGATTGTGAATTTGAGTAAAAACTTAGTCAAAGTTTTAAACGATTGAACAAAAGCAATCTATAGTGACAAACAGATTAATCTTATAAATCCATGACAGCAATTTGCCAGACGATTTGCTAATGACATTCTTTCCTAATTGTAATCGATTCTCCTTCTAAGCTAGTTTAATTTTATAAGAAATATTTCTTTGGCCTTTTTGATCCTAATTATTTTACATACCTATGGAGATAAATTTTACTGTACTAGTATTCAATACCTTTTTGCCATTAATTACATTCAATTTTATAATACATAAATATTTGTATTTTATATGAATGCCATATGTAAGATTTGTAAGGGAATGATTTATTGCCATTATACATCTAGTGAATACAAAACACGTTCCTCGCGTAAGCCTGATATGGGCAAAGTTAGCGACGAGCTGTAAATAAAAGTTAGAGAAGAGATGCGGCGAAGTAGTTCTCGATATATTTTACACAACTGTTAGATTTTTTTTCTCTTACTAGACAACAGTCTTACGTTTCAAAAATGTATAAAATATTTCTGGATATGATATGTGTTTCCGAGTATAATTTATTATTATTATAATTTAAACTACAATTAATTTATATACAGGTTGTCAAATAGGTCAAATGTAAATTTTCGGGTAGAAGGCCTAGTTTTACGGGTCAAGATAAAGAAATTATAAGAGTACAAATTGTCTTAATACTTAATCTAACAAATATCCACTATTTAAAGTTTTTGTACACAAATCTTTGTGAATTTGATGTTTTTCAATCGAACTTGATACAAATTGGAATGCAAACTTTATTAAGAAAGATACAAAAACACTAAAAAAAAAACAAAAAAAAGGTTTTTTTTGTGTTGTCGTTTTTAGTTAGAAAAATTACTTGGTCCAATTTTAAATTTCTAAATGAAGGCCTTAAAAATGTTTCAAAGCCATAAGTGACCCAACCAAAATAATTAATTGTAGAAAGCTGAATCCAAAACTAATGGCACTTCCTAAATTGTGGAAACAATTAAATAATACGTGCGTTATATATTAAAACGTATATCCTATTTTAAAATGTTTTTATTTTTATAATTTGTATCATAGATAAAACGTTCGAGCATGAATGTTGCACGAAAAAAAACCATCGAAATGCTATAAAAAAAATTTAAAAAAAATACTGTAGCGTCACGAGAACCATAGAAACCCATATTATTGGTGCTTTTACTATTTGTAAGAAAATTGAGGTATTCATTAACCATTTACAAAGTTGTCTTGAGTCTCTAATGTCTTACCTAAACATGTTTGGAAGTTGCGGAAGTCGACTGCAAGACGGGAATGAATAATCAACGAGTAGAATTAGCTTCCCTGGAGGGACTAACAGCTAGTTTCCTAGTTTGATTACTTCTTAATACTACGCTTAGCTTGATGATTAGCTTCTCTAACGTTAAGCAATATAAAGTATAATTTGATGTTAACTTACAAAATCTCCTAAATAATTGTTAGCTAAGTGATATCTTATAAAATATTGTATTGGGATCAAAAAATTACGCGTTATCGTTTTTTTATACCGGATGTTTTATACTTTGATTACTTTAAATTCGATCTAATGACAAATTTAAATTGTTATTAAATTTAATCACAAAATAACATTGTACATTAACTGCAGTTTATAATAATAAAAAGATTACATTTTAATACGATTCGTTCAAAATAATATATAATGTTATGTTATTTTTTTTTTTTAAGTGCCTTTGTCGTGAATTTGAATTTACATAGTCAAAAGCTTATAATTGATTTCCAGTTCTACACCCATCATTATTGTAGCATCAAGTTTTATTGTAACAGAATAACACAGTCGTGGTCCGCATCAAGTAGCGCAGCCTCTCTGTATTCTGGACAATCTCTTAAAAACATGTTTACGTCGTTCAACGTCACAGTATGTTTTGCCACGTTTCATCCGAAATACAGGGTGATTTGTACTCAGTGTGACAAAATTTTTTTGATGTAAGTAGAAAGTAAATGAAGTGTGATGATGCATATCAAATTTTCCAAGTCTCAAAATTGGCGTCCCAAAAAATTATTTTATGTTTTTAAAAAATAACCATGCTTTTAAGCTTAATACAGCGATTTCTCAATTACCTGTATATGGATTTGAGTAGATAATGTCATTTTCGTGTTCTACATTAAATTTTGAACAAGAATAATGGAAAATGACGGAGGATCAGTTGTAAAAACTCCATTGTAAATAGATTCAAAGATAAAAATTAAGATATTTGATAAAAATTTTTAAAAACAATGGTCTATTGCATTGTTCACACCCTGTATACAAGAAAGTGTCGGAATATGTTAAAAACTGCGCCATTTTATAAGCTTTCCAACCATATGCTACACTATTGATGTTTAGATATTCTTTTGTTTGTTTTAGTGGTTTGAATACCAGAAAACAGGGAACTTTTTTACCGTTTTTACTGTTCAAGCTGAAACAAAAATACAACTTTTGCTTAATACATGCCGACTTTCTGTGTTTTAAATGTTAAAGACACCATGTTTTGTAGTCTTCAAACCATTAAAGCGTACATAAGCAGACATAAACCTCAATAGTGTAGCATATGGTTGGAAAGCTTATAAAATGGCGCAGTTTTAACATATTCCGACACTTTCTTGTATACAGGGTGTGAAAAATGCAATAGACCATTGTTTTTAAAATTTTTATCAAACATCTTAATTTTTATCTTTGAATCTATTTACAATGGAGTTTTTACAACTGATCCTCCGTCATTTTCTATTATTCTTGTTCAAAATTTAATGTAGAACACGAAAATTACATTATCTACTCAAATCCATTTACAGGTAATTGAGAAATCGCTGTATTAAGTTTAAAAACATGGTTATTTTTGAAAAACATAAAATAATTTTTTGGGAAGCTAATTTTTAGACTTGGAACATTTGATATGCATCATCACACTTCATTTACTTTGTACACACACCAAAAAAATTTTGTCACACTGAGTACAAATCACCCTGTATATCAAATACCAACATCTGACTGTCGTTTTTCAAAATTAACCCAGGAACCGATTAATTACGAGTTACTTTCTTCATTGATTCTATGGTTATTAAAGTTTTAGTGTTTATACACTTTTATCCCCTCAAATACTATTTTTTATACTATACTATAATAGTACTATACCTTTATAAATACTTATATAATCGCGCTTATGTCACATCAATTATGCAAATGCATCACGATAATTACTCTGATAGCTATATGCCATATGTCTACTGTGCGTTACACGTGTCTGCGTACGCAATGTATCATGTCCCTAGCATTGCCATACATGTAATAACAGAGAGGCGTTATTGCACTACAAGAACAACATTTTAGACTTTTTATCATTTTAAGCTCTTCTAAGCCTGCACAGTGTTGATAAATGACTTTCCTTTGCACTTTTACCAAGAATAATTATAAATGTGAGTACAGTTATCAATAATTTACCAAGTCTGATAGACAAAAAATTTTAACTTATATGGTGAGTCTTCTAAGCTGTCCTAAACAGATTACATACGAACGGCTTGACATACAGAGTTGAAACAAAACTTTTCCCGACTAATTCATACCCAAGGAACAACGTTAAAATCTTTTTACCATTTTTAAAATACAGGGTGTTCAAGAAACTAGGGGTCATGGGTTCGAATCTTGGAGTTTTCAAAAGTAAACATATGTCATGTTATGCACCATTTAAAAGCTCTAGACTAGACAAACAATTTAGTAAAAACAGAACTCATTTATCTTTGTCCGTTTCAAAATGGCGGCCATTTTTAAAGAAAATATTGATACTTACTGAATACCCTGTATCTTGAAAACCACTAAACTTATTTTCGTTCTGTTTGAAAATCCTTAATCCTGGTAGGTTCAGCTTTAATTTGATATATGACAAGTCAACATTTTAAAAACTAAATATTTTTTCTATGATTATTTTTTTTTTAAGTTGGTAGCCTTGTAAATGAAAATTTTCAAATGGCAACATATGTAAAATTGTGTATAATTTTGAAGGTCTTGTAAAAACAAACAACTTTTAAATTTAAACCTACCGTATATCTTTGGTCGTTTTCTAGTAATTAACCAAAAACTTCAATTGCCCATATAAAACCCATGTTAAACGCGCAGTACCATGGGAATAGTGTATATGCATCCACTAATCTTCAGTACTGCACGTTTAACATGGGTTTTATATGGGCAATTGAAGTTTTTGGTTAATTACTAAAAAACGACCAAAGATAGACGGTAGGTTTAAATTTAAAAGTTGTTTGTTTTTACAAGACCTTCAAAATTATACAAAATTTTACATATGTTGCCTTTTGAAAATTTTCATTTACAAGGCTACCAACTTTAAAAAAAAATTAAAATCATAGAAAAAATATTTAGTTTTTAAAATGTTGACTTGTCGTATATCAAATTAAAGCTGAACCTACGAGGATTAAGAATTTTCAAACAGAACGAAAATAAGTTTAGTGGTTTTCAAGATACAGGGTATTCAGTAAGTATCAATATTTTCTATAAAAATGACCACCATTTTGAAACGGACAAAGATAAATGAGTTCTGTTTTCACTAAATTGTTTGTCTAGTCTAGAGCTTTAAAATGGTGCATAACATGACATATGTTTACATTTGAAAACCGCGAGATTCGAACCCATGACCCCTAGTTTCTTGAACACCCTGTATTTTAAAAATGGTAAAAACATTTTTACGTTGTTCCTTGGGTATGAATTAGTCGGGAAAAGTTTTGTTTCATCCCTGTATGTCAAGCCGTTCGTATGTAATCTGTTTAGGACAGCTAAGAAGACTCACCCTGTATATAAAACTAGCCTATTTATGCTAAAAATTCCGTATCATAATATGGTAGGTTTTCGAATTATTAATTCTTTTGACACAGAGCGATTTCCTTAGTGACATTTCTGTGTTATTAAGAAATGTCACTAAGGAAATCGCTCTGTGTCAAAAATACCTCTCACAATAGCTATCAAGTCCTTAAATTATATAATAAACATGATAAAAGAGAATGTACAACCTATTTTATTCAACCATTTTGACTGAATGAAAAATATATAAACACAAACATAAACATTAAAAAACAATAACATAAGCCATGTGTGTTAAGAAATCATATGCTGTTGACAAATCCTTATTAATCCTCCCCCTCAAATTTACACGGCCGAATGTATGTAAATGTGTATGTATGGTTAATGTGCCTTCTCCAAACCTGCCCATCGTCCATCTCGATTTGATAATGCACCAATCCTTCTCTCCTTCTTATGTTTCCAAATTTCCGTCTTTTCCGAAATTGCGCACCTGAACCCTGTCCCCCACCCGAAACTCTCTTTTCATTGTTGTACATCCGTTGGGCATTTCTGTGTGATCTTGGGGTTTCTTCATAAGATCCAGCCTTGTCCTTATTCGTCTCCCAAACATAAGTTCATATGCCGAGGACCCTGTAGCATTTGTGGCATTCCTTAGTGACATTAGGATGTGATTTATTTTGAAGTGCAAATCTCCTCCATCATTCTCCATTGCTATTAACTGTTTCTTTACAGTCTGAACAAATCGCTCTGCTTGTCCGTTGGTTGCAGGGTGATAGGGGGCAGAGAATTTGTGTGTGACGCCACAAGCTTGTAGAAATTGGTTGAAAATAGATGATGTGAAGTTAGGGCCATTGTCAGAGACTAACGTGAACGGGTAACCAAAGGCAGAGAAAAGTTTCCTGAGCTGTTGAATGCACCAATTTGATGTTGTAGTTTTGGTTGGTTAGCGAACCCAAAAAAAAAAAAACTGAAGTCTATAAGCTTGAAAATGTCATTGGTATCCTTTATTGACAACCTTATTGTCTTATTTTAACCATATTTATTTTAACGTTCTACAATTCTTAAAAAAATCAATGTAAGTTAAATTTAACAAAAATAATATAAAAATATACTACGTTTGTTTTATTGCTGATTGTTCTACAATTTTCAATCATTTTACTATTACCATACTATTTGTAACACAGAGGAAAATTAACCTTAGGCAATATTAAATTATAAATTTAAATAACTTATTAAGTTCTCGAATATTAAAGAAATCGATTATTATAGCTTGAATAAAGCGGAGATTAAATATTGTGATGATTTCAACTTATCACATGCCTTTCCCTTAAAGGCTACATCTTTTCAATATTGTTCGAATTATCATATTTTCGATGTAATTGCATTCCTATGATTACAGTGGCAACCCTGGGAATAATGTAAACTATTATTACCATATTTATAATTTATTTTTATTACTCATATTTTTTCAACTGTTGTGACGCGTGACTAAGAAATTGATGAGCTAGATTTGCTGAGTTTCGTATAACAATTCTTTAAGAAAAAAATACCTAACACAAAATACAATAGAGTACGCGATCGGTTGATTTTCGCTACGCCTGTTTTTAAATTTATATTTCTCAAATAAACCCGGAAATGAAGAGACATTATCATCGATGCTTCGTTTCCTCTTAAACAAATACTGTTTGTAAAGATTTCAAAGGAGACTTCAATTCCCCTCTTACATATTTCTGGGTTATTTGAATAATTTCCTTTCCCTCAGAACCTAAAATATGCAGGTAATGTTAATAATATAATCTAATTGTTCCTTTATTTCTTTCTTTTATTTGTTCTTATATATCTGTGCACACTTTAGTCAAGTATTCGAAGCAATTATTTTAAATTGGTTTCAGTGTAATGGGGTTCAACTTACAGCGTGTAAGTGTTGGAGTTACAATTTTATACACAAATATTGTTAGTACAACATATTTTAGCAATGTTATTACATGTAGTTTTACCTACTGTAAAGGATTTCCGATTTCAGGAATCGTATAGATTAAAACAGTTGCGTATAATAAAGTTTCGTTGTAAATATTTTCTGTGTGACTATGCGTTTACGCTAAGAAAACATAACTAATCTCGAGGAAATATTTTTTAGCAAACGAAATTCAACAAAGTTTCTGTTTTATTGTAAAATTATTAAATTAAAATAATAACGTATATAATTAGAGCGAAAAATAGGTGGTCAAGTGACATTTGTTTACGAAATGATTTGTCATCTGTAACTGTCAGTAATTGCCTTTATGTAGTATATCTTTTTGTCTTCAGCTTTTGAAAAAATCCATTAAAAGTGTAAACCAACTGTTGTTAATTGTACACAGTATTGACCACGACCCAATCCCCGTGTTTAGGATAGTCCTATATTAAGTTGACGAGCTGCAACAGAAAACAGAGTGCTGTAAGCAGTTTATATTGAGATTATCTATTAACATATTTTTTTTTTAAACTGAGATAAAACTAGCGCTGACCATTCAGCTAACGAGCGATAACTTTGATGAAGTGACTGTGGGGCTAAAATGTCATAGCAATCACCGATAAAAGGTTCAGCCACGGAAATCAATTTAATACGTGTTGTATTGTAACCAAATTTAGAAAATGACGGTATGGTTAGGAATTTAAGTTAAAATATCCGCAATCGTAAATGTAAAATCTATATGTAATTATTTTTATCCGTTTTTCAACGCAGGTAAAAAAATAATATTTATCGACTTTTGAAACATGTAATTTACTATAACCAACGGTACACAAATAAGAAATCGGATACATTCTATTCAATGGTTGTAATTCTAGCAGAAACATTAATGGAAGTGCATGTGATAGATGAAATAATCTTTTTTACCTACGATCGGTTTTTAAAGTAGCCGCTTCAGTTCAGTTCTTAGAATAGAAAAGTTTCACATAACAGCACTGTTTACATCATAGTTTTACTCATAACAACACGGGTAACTTGTTGAGTGAAGCAATTAGTGTTTGGTATAATGTTTCATTGCATCACCGTCAGTGGCAATGAGAGGTTATAAACGAAAACATAACCTCTCATAGTAATGAGTAGTGATTTTTAGTAATTAAAAAACTATCGTAGGTAAAGTAGCGAACGCAATCGTTTCGTAAACTACTATAATATACGGTTAGAACTTTAGGTTAGAACATTATTTTATCTCAAGGGATTTTAGTAACTGACTAACCGTCCTTGATATTCTGATTAATTTGGAAATATTTATTTTTATTCAGTTTATCTTGTGAGCTTTTACTAAGTTTATAAAATATCTAAATCTAAAAACAGGTTAATTTAATTATAAGATAAACTTAAGATCCCATTTTATTTCAAGATTTTGACACATGCAACTGTGTAGACAATTTATTGTACAGTCATTAACCTATAATCATAAGATTTCTTTCATTGGGGCTTATTTTAAGACTACCTGTTATAGAATACTGCTTGCTGTTACACATATTTTGTTTTCATCCGAATCTGTTCATATTGGAATGCTCGTGATTTACTTACGGACGAAATAGTAATATTTACGATTTAATTTCACAAGATTCTTGAAGACTGAAACCGATCGCTATGTCTTTTAAACAACACCAGTCATAATAATATACTATGTTATAACAAATTAAGATGATTCTACTTAATCAGTTTAAAAATTAAAGCAGATTGAATAAATAGTTAGTTGAACCATAGACAATTAAAATAAATACGGTTGAACCAAGGAAAGGAGAGAAGAACAAACATAAAATAAAGGTATAAATTCTTGTCATCTTCTCATTACCCTTTATTAATAGTTTACATTACAATTAAGCACAGCATGATACTTGAGTAGCTGATTTTCTTCCCTCAAGGCTTTTAATGTTTCGGCTCCTGCATACCTCTATTTTTTTAATAAATCACTTCGTATTACTACAATTTAAAAGATGTCATTCATGAAAAAGGACGAGTGAACAAACAAATGGTGAACACGTTAATGAAAGCTTGTAAAAATGCCTTTTTTATCGTTGATATATTTATTCTTGCAATAACATTACCTAAGGCTAAAGAAAATATTACAGTTAGAATTAAAAACAATATGGTTCATGTTGAAAATAACGTTATTGGCTGCCAATTATTACAATATAAAATGAGTATGCAAAAACAATGTGACATTCATTGTAAGTTTAAAACTCTTGTAAGTTTGAAACTTCTAGAACTACCATGAAAAAGACATCGATTACCTTAATGCATCACACACTTAAAAATCCAGAACACTCAAGACTTTATTGGATTAATCTATTTTATGAAAAAAGTTTTACTTATAGCACATTTGGCTATGAAGGGCATTATTAATGAGGGGTGGAAAATAATAATGGAATCTAATAAATTATAAAATCATATGAAGATGCCAATGGCAGAGTTGTTGTTCAAATGCAAACAGAAATTAAAAACCATAGGCATGCCTTCGTGTTTTTAGAGGAATCGAGAATGGCATTTGTTTTATCAAAATATTACTATACAAAAATAATACAGATGTTTGAAATAAATGAAAGCAACAGCGAGTGATTTGTTGGCAAGTGAAATATATGTTTATATATTTTTGCATGGAGGTTTAATTCTTCCAAACCAGATTTATAAATTGTAACTACTTAACAAGTGTTTGGATTAGGCGGTACAATACATCTACAGTACCATACCGTAGTAGTCTTTAATATTTTCGTGTATTCAATGCAAAATTATAATATACAAACCTAATACGCTAGGTCACGCTATGTATTCATGGTCACAAGAACAATCTCTTGTTGATGCACTTTACACAAACTTTATCTCCGTCAACGAATATTTACGGCGTGTTGCAATTTTTCGAAACTGCTTCACTGAGATTCATGGCATTCGAAGTCTATTTATGGGTGGGGAGGAAACTTACAACTCTGGAAATCGTTTTTGTATCTCATGTTTAAAAAGGATTTACATTTTTCCATAAAGTAACAAAATTTGTCATCCAGTTTTACGTTACGAAGAATAATTTTACCTTACTGTGTTTTAATTTGAACTAGAGGTTGCCCCGTTGTCAAAAACTCGACCAAAAAAATATATTGTGCACATTTTTCTTTTTTTAACCCCACGATGTAAATAAAACATTTGATTATAATTGCTCCCATTTGTTTTGATTTTATTTTTATCATTTCGTCCCCAGCATGGCAACAAATAAGGCCCATATTAATTATTTTAAATTATAAATTCATTTTGTTCTTATTTGTTAGCTTAATTTAATTGATAAAGGGATTCTGCACATCTACTGGCGAATATCTTTCTAATAGTATGCGTAGATTTTCCCTGCGTTGTACAAAAGCTGAGAAAAGAGGTTTCAAAAAACATGCTTGCCTATTAATATAAAGGATATGACCAACACTTTTATGAACGATAGTGTTTATGAAAAAAATATACACTACCTTATATTGTTGTTAAGAGAAATATTGAAGTGTGTTTACAAACCTGTGTTTACAAAAGTTTTGTTCTAGAGAAGCAAGGTGTCAGATAATGTATTTCATTTCCGGCTTTCTTTAGAGATATTGTGTGCTTTACAGTCGAACCTCGATAAGAAAACCCTCATGGGGATAATCAAATATCAATATAATATTGTTATCAATGTTGACTGCTTATAGAGGTTTGCAATTTAATGCATTTAAGCGCAAAATAGAATCAAGGGTACCAAGGGTAAACCACCAAAATGGAGAAAAGCTAGTGAAGCAAATTTTCAAAAAGATGAATAAATAAGATGGTTGTTATTATACAGGGATAGTACAACAGGGAAGGCTATTTATAAACATATTATTGTATTTGCTAAATAAATTCTTTGTTAAAAACCCGTTCAAGGATCAAATATTGCGCCA